ATCTATACTAATATTATAAAGAGGTAATGTTTGTATGTATGTATGTAAGTTTGTTTGCAGCAGGTAATCTCCGAAACTACTCATCCGATTTCAAAAATTCTTTCACCAATATTTAGAATGGAACCTCAAGGTGGACATAGGCTGTATATTATTCCGTTAAGCATTCATATAAATTAAAATATATAATCTAGGTTAAGGCTTTTATGTCCAATAGATGGCGCTACGAATACGACGCCCTAAGTTTGCTTTTCTGTGAAAATGAACTAAAGCAGATCATCTTCTATCTATCTATATAAATAAAAATGTAATGTTCGTTTGTTCCTACCGATTCCTTTGAAATTTTGACACAACGCTGCATTCGAATACGCACGTGTTTTTATATAATATACGTGTCGAAATTCCCCCCACTGAAGGGAGATGGTTAGGAATAAGGCTTACCGTAAAGAACTCTGCTTTTATTTATACTATTTTAGATGCGGTTTTTTGCGTTTTAATAGGGTACGTCAACAAAATGTACGCTAAGAAGAAATTTTTCGAAAAATTCCCCCCACGGGGAAGTGTTATAAATTTATAATAGATACATTTTGAGCCACAACAACGCGTGGCGGAGTCTGCTAGTTCTTGTATAATGTTAAAAAATTAACTGTTACTTTGACAGCATCATTTACAACTAAATTTAATGAATGAGAGAGATGCACGAGGTACAGAAAAAGCTCTAGAATTTATTTTTCTTAAATTTACGATTTATGTATCCGTTTGTCATAAAAATTTGTCTTTCCACTTTTTCCCGAGACTACAAATATTCGAGTACAAAGTAACTGGTTTCGACTATTTCTATTTAAGAAGTAGTTAAATAATTAAGCCATTAGGGAAATGGGGACACAAAATCCTGATGAAAGAGCCGAAATTTTACTTAATTAAACAAAAGCCTAACCGAACCAATCTCTAGCAGAGTACAGTGGGAGTGATTTCTTCGAAATATTAGATGTAATAAAGACAGACATTTTTCCAGTTCGACGAGAGTGACCGAAAAGTTGTAAATTTTGGAAATTTCCGTGGACAACACCTGGTCCTAAAATGAATTAGAAAACAAACGACAGACAATCTATTAAGTTTAACATATTTAGACTTTTACATCTATGGTGAGAAACGTTTAAAATTTACAAGAATCCTGTCGCGTCTTTTGATATTTGACATTGACCGGTATCAGCACCCTCGGGATTTGGCAGCCCGCGTGCATGTACTGTACACACCGCACACCTAGCAGGACCGTCTCTGATTCCACTCGTAGGGAGCTATTTGACTAAGTGGTTAAGATTTAAAGAGTAAAGAATATTTTATGTTATTTTCATGTACGTTTCATTACAAAGTTATATTTAATTATAATTTTCTTTAAAAGTATATTCATACAATTGAAGAATATTTTGTACCAGGTATGTATATCCACCACACATTTTATTTCACCAAGTAAGTTTTTATAATTTTATTTTTAATTTTAGCCCTTATATCGTGGCTAGCGATTCGGAATGTAATTGCGATATTGAAAATTTATTTTAAAAAAGTTTTGGCTCGAGATCATATAATGAAAAAGAAAACATTATTAAAAGAGAAAGGCCAATGCCTAAGTTAAATATAAACACTTCAATAAAAAAATTTGTTCGACATTTTCACGATAAAATGGCTCTGTAAATGCATAAAAATGCAAAAATTGTTTTGTTGGCTTGCCTACTATTTTCAAATGAAATTAGTGTGTGGAATAAGAATGGCTTTGACAATTTAGCTGGCAAAAGACACGAAAAATCGTCGATTCTTTCGTATTTGAAGCAATTTGGAAATCAAAGCGGAATAGAATTTAACATTAGTAAATAATATAAAATAAATATTGAAAATTATAACGAGATAGTTACGGTTTATAGATATATTATATCTAAATAAATAGATGTTATATGTTTTTATCAAAGCAAGAATTGGCATTTAGAGGGCAAAGGAAACCTATTGAAACTAATAACAGAGGTAATTATATTGAACTTGTTTATTTATTAAGTACGTCAGATAAATAATCTATTAAAAATACATTTAAAGAAAGAATTAACTGATTGCCCCTGGAAGTCGGCTTCTTATATAAACACAGCTTCCCTATCATCCAGGGCTGTGGAGTCGGAGTCGGAGTCATCAAAAAATCCGCCGACTCCGACTCCCTTTTTACTTACCAACTTGTTATGTATATGAAACGGAGTTGGAGTCGGATGGTAAGGAAAAGTCGGAGTCGGAGTCGGTAGATTTTTACGCGACTCCACAGCCCTGCTATCATCAAATGTCACGGCACGCCCCTGTCGTGCCATGATATTTTATTTCCTGACCGCTAAGAATTTTTTTTACTTACAATGCGACAATTTTGATTTCGGAGGAATGCTACATTTATTTTTAAATTTTGTCATTGTAGACCCATAAATTCCCACTGTCGTCCGTCCGTATGTCTTAATCTCGAGAACGGAGTTATATGAAATCCTAGATCAGATGTGGAAACTTTAGAGACGGGAGGCCCCAATTAACTATATATGATCTTCCGATTCAAACCGAAAGTCACGTTTTTTTCAATTCAAAACGTCAGTTAACACGACTCTATTGTTAACGGAAAAGTGTGATGTACTTACTGTACAGGGGCAAACCACTACTAATTCAAGATGAAGAGCATATATTCTAAATTAAATTAATTAAAAATTGCAGCCCGGCATTGTGATCGTGTCACAATAAACAATTTCTCGTAATTTTAGTTTCTTTGTGAAAGCTTTGGTTTGCACTTGTGAAAATATTTACGATAAAAACTACATTTTGATCTTTGTATCTTTGTCGTGTTTTGAAGCAGAATATCGAAGTTAAAATCCTTCTGAGAGGTAAAAAGTCACAAACTGTGAGAAAAGGCATTTTCCCATCAAAAATAAGCAAAGAAAGCATGGCAGTAAGTGCAAGAGACTGATATGTAGAAACTACACCATTAAGATGTCTGCAAATTGTGCACTATATTCATTATTGTGGATAACAAAAGTATATTAAGACGAACTAACATTTTGTTCGTTATGTTGGAGACACTGAAGACGCGAGCGCGAATAGGGACCAATCCGAAATGCATTCTTAAATAGGCGAAATAAAGAGAACTGTTTTAATCTCGGCCTCTGTTAATTATCCATAATTAAGATTCGACAATTGGAAGAAGAAACCTTCACTTATAACTTTTTATACGCTCTCCAGCCTGACGAAATAGTGTCTGTCTCCTTGAAGTTAACTACCGTCGTTTTCCCGAAGGCTTTGTACATTTCTAACTTTTCAAGTTGTTTCGGCCGAGGCACTATTTTCTCTCAAGGGCGTTCTTTTTATTTCTAAGGAGTGAGGAAATTGTAGGGTTTTAGAATGCACAATCCTGTGCTTACTACATCGGGCTATCTCCTTATAGATAGAGCAGAGGGCCTTGTGTTGTGTTATGATAGAACATTCGGAAAGGATAGATATCTACAAACTGTTCCGGATAAGGACAGCATGAAAATAGATAGTCCACTTATATGTTACTGTAGGCCTATTATGGTACAATTTAGCAAAATCGCTATAGAGGAAAAATTGCTGTCAACTTTGATGCTATAAGCAATGATGTAACGAAACGATGACGTCATCTATAAAAAAACTGACATAATTCAACATTATAATGCCATAATTAATTAAAATGCAAATACACAGTAAGTTACATAGGTGTACAATGGGCTTGCCTTCCAATTCAGTTATTTAATTAAAATCACGTAAATGATAAGCATTACTAATGTGATAATTACTGCAAGGAACATAAAAAATGTACAGATATACATAAAATTTATAGATTAACTAGTCATGGGAATTAGATGGTTCCACATATCCTTAAATTTATATCTGTACATTTGGAAAATGAAAATTTGATGATAACATTCTTGGTTGTATTTGCGCTACCACTGTTTCCAGAAACAATATGCAAATAAAAAAGAAAATAATAAAATGTTTGACTGAGAATGTATAAAACTAGTATGCCTACTTTGTATAGTTAAAAATATAGTTTTTTTCAAAAAAACAAAGCAATGCCAATTACAGTACTGTATATTCCAACTGCCTTTAACTGTGGAAATGTGCTTCAAGAATACAATAATTGTAGATATGTTGTCTCATATTATGTGTTAAATTGGGAAAAGTATTAATTGTCATTTTATGTTTCATTTTCTTATCTAAATGTACAAATTTTTATCTTAGAAAAACATTTGTACGAGAGATTAAAATACAAATTAAATATTAATATATGACCTTTACTCATATTTTTATTCACAAATATATATACACAATGTAATTGTTTCATTCGAGTGATTAATTCATATCTCTGTTAACTCCATCGTAAGAATTATTGTTATAGTCATTCCACTGTAGTGATTGAAAGTTTGAAGAACTAATAATTAATTTTACTGTGGATTTTTTAATACCACACTACACTTAATTATTTTGTAAAAAATAACTGGCACCAATTTATTTCTTATTTTTTAGTTCCCTACAGACCCTAAAAGGGCGGCCGGATGGCCGAGCGGTCAAGGTGGCAGCCTACAGCTCTGGGGGACCCGGGCTCGAATCCGACGGGTCGAAAAATCCCCAGGAATTTTTCGGGGTGTGGTCCTTTCGGATATGTCGGATCCCGTCCCTCACCATTCGGCAGCTCCATTGTGGGCCTGGACTTGCAAAAAGATTCCCTGTTAGTGCCCACGGGGCGGAAAGAGTTAAAAAAAAAAGGCCCTAAGAGGGGCTTGCTAGCAATCTAATTTGAGTTTAATCAAGGCCCGAATAGTGTGGCCGAATGATGAAGGACGGGATCATAACATATCCACAGACCACTTTCGAAAAATACTATATGTTTTACGATCCGTCTCGGTTCCTTCAGAGCGGTAGGATAGCACCATACCCGCTCGGCCATCCGACCGTCGGGCATCAAATATTCGAACTTATTAATTTCTAATATTTATATTAAAATTTTATAATGTAAATATTTCTTTTATGTTATACGTCATTAATATAAAACTAATGGATGTAAATATTTACTTTTAAATAAATAAATAGTAATAATAATGTGCAACGAAGATGGCGTTGCGGTTCCTGTAATTCTGAACAGACGAATTGTCGTCTGTTTATCGCTGTAGGATGCTGTTATCGATTACTTTACGTTTACAGCTCAGAAGATAACGATCGTTGTTTCATCCTTCGAAAAAAATAAAAAAATGTGTAAGTCCTGTATTTCTACTCCCTCTTTTACAGAATATAAGAAGTTTAACCAGTATTTATCTTGGTTTCAGAGCCGTGAAGTATCAATGGAAGTAAGTCTAAGTCGATTCTAACACATCCAATGAAAATTTTATTATGTTTAAAGGATTTGAGATATGTTTCAATGCGAAAATCTTCAGGATATTGAAAGTGAGTCGAAATAAACTAATTTACATTGAAACATTGGAGAGTTAGATTGATAAGTCGTACTTGTCAACCTTAGTTTCAACCTCTTCCTGCCCCCTTGGTAACCACCCCAGATGCAGTCAATAACCTCTTCCAAAAACTGTGTGAAGACTTCAAGGTTCCCTTTATGAAAAGTTATGTTATGTTGTCAGAACAAGAATACAATGGGAGAGATAAAATTTTGGGTAAGATGGTGATTGTGGATCTGAATGACACTGTTGGGAGCTTAACAGACCTGCAGATCGTGTCTATAGGAGCAAAAAAAGTCAAAGGAACTGTACTTCTACATGCAACCCTTTGCAAGATATTTGCTTCTAAATGTAGAACCCCATGGTGCCCATCGTGCTTGCGGATGTCGTGTTTGTGTATGGCACGTTGAATCGATACTACTGCCTGTTCTCCAGGTTCCGTGTTGGTCTGCATAAAGTTGTGTGCTTTAGTGCCTCTATTGCTCTATTGTAGGCTGACTCTGGCAAAATTAAATACCAAGTCATTTTATGAGGGGCAGAGGCACTCATAGGGGGTACCCTACTCAGAACTCTGAAAGCAGCCTGGGGCATTTACCCATATACTTTTATAGTTAGTAATTTTAATATTCAACTTGCATTAATATTTATTTGTATTAAAAAATAAATTTTTAACAAATACTTAATAAGAGGAGAAATGGGGCGATAAAATTCTACATTTACATATATTTGACAGCATTTGCACTTCAATTTCACCCTTCCAGAAGAGTTAGTCCAACTAAAAAGTGTGTGATCTAGCTAGCTACTTCAACCTTTGTTCAGAAAAGAAAAAGTGTATTCTGATCAATTAGTCTGGCTCATTCAGAAAAATAGAGTACTTATTTAGAACAGGAATAATAAAGGAATGATTCAAAAATATTCAAATTCAATTGGGTCAAAATAATTTAACTACTAAACACAAATACTACAAAAAATACAACATATTTAATAAATTAAATTGATGTATTTTGTATTTAAAATAAATGAATTATAACAAAATACAAAAAGATTTTTAAAAATTAATAAATATATAATAAATTTTCTTTCATTTAAATAAAAATACTAAAGTAAATTTAAAATGTGGGGGTTGACACATTTTTTCCGACTCCGACTCCTCTGGCCAGAAATTCCTCTCAACTCTGACTCAGACTTCACAGCCCTGGTCACGTGGACTAAATAGTTAAATGTGATAGTCTTGTAGAGTGCACGGCATGATTCCTGATCATACTCTGGAAGAAGGTTGATTTTAGGAGGCTGTATCTCACAAAGGTATAAAGATTATATAGCCACCATGGGCAAATGCGGCTCCCGAGAGCCACATGTGGCTCTTACTGAAAGTGCTAATTTCTGCTTTTTATTAATTACAATTTTATTTCCACAATTTTGTGAAAATATGTTTATTAAAAAAAATTCAATATTTGTTTTATATAATATTTATATTATATAATAAAATTGAGGTACAGAACTGCAGTACAGAATAAAAAAGTACAGAACTGCGGCTCCCATGCATTTTGCAAAACCTACATTTTGGCTCCCATTGACCTCTTGCTTGCCCACCCCTGTTATATAGGAAGCTATGTAGAGGTATGCCTTTGACTTTTTCTGCTCCTATGGATATGGTCTACAGTTCTGTTAAAATCCCAACTGTGTCATTCAGATCTTCAATTGTACCAAATTTAGTAACTCAAGTTACACCTTTAAAGATGCTACAGCTACCTTTCAGCCTTAAAAATAATATACAAGCAACACAAGCTACACTTAAAATATATTTTTAATGGCCATAAATTAGTTGTTTTCCATATTGGCTTCAATATATCTTAAATTCAAACTACAGCTGTTCTATTTTTACTAATTCTCCAAACCTTCTATATATCTAATTTTTTATCTTTCACTCCCACAGCTTATAAATAATTTTTATGACCTTACACTCATTTAATTACTTTTATATTAAAATTTAAAAATTTACATTAAAAAAATTGTCATTCTCCAGAGTTGGATAACTTTAAAGCAGTTTTTGGTCTTTCAAATTGGTTCACACTGCAAAATGTGGAAAGCAAAAATTTTTAATGTGTTGGACTAGCAGAACAATTTGCTAAACAGAAAATTCATTGGGTCAAAAAAAGCTTGACCCAATGAAATACATAACATATGACAATATTACGTAATATTTATTTTGCTTTATGCATTTTCAGTTTTTTAATATTCACTATTGAAGAGAACAGAAACTATGTCAGATTGTAAAGGTAAAAACTTAGATACAGTAGAGCATCAATTATCCAAATCAATTGGGGACTGGGATTGTTTGGAAAAATGATTTTTCAGATAACCAATTATGTACAAAAAATATATTAACCTATCCCATGTTGAAATTTGTTCAAATCCTGGCATATCCTTAAGTACTCTCTCATGGTTGTGCCAGTGCTGCCAGCTAAAACACATACACCAACAAAAATAATATTGGAGTAGCCCAAGACATAGCCAAAGATTGCAGCACCACAGCATTAGCAGAAATTTAAATTTGCTGACTGGAAAGCTTTCGGTTAATTGACGTTTCGGTTGATCAACATTCAGATAATCAATGCTCTACTGCATTTAAAAAAAATTATTTATTGACAAATAATGCAACAACAATTACAATTCAGCCTGGTAGGTAATCACCATCAATATCAATCACCTTTGATGAAACTTTCAATCCCATGAGCCTGTGATTCCCAAACTTTTTCAAGCCATCACCCCTTGATTCCATAAAGTTACACCCAATGCCACTTAACCCATTTTTCCTTGTATGAGAAAGGTTTGGAAATATTCTTAGGAAAACTTTTCTGTGAACCTTGCATGTGTCCTTACTGTACATTGTTCTCAACATCTGGAAGCCATTAAATGAAATGTTTCTTCTTATCCATTTTAACAGAGGAAAGGGAAAGGTTGTCAGTGACCCTCAACCTTTGCTTATGGTTACCATTCACTCCTCTACCTCCAGCATCATCTTGCCACCTACTTGCTTCTTTTCACCTAGATTTACTTACTGCCCACAGGAGGATGGTAGTACCCATTTTGGGACCACTGCTATGAGCATAGAATGAATGAGGTTTTGCTTTGAAGAAGTTTTGAGTGTCAGGTATTGTCATTGAACTGTATATTGGCAATATGGACAAGGTATGAAATAGATTATAGTCAGTTGATGCCAAGTCTAGGTTGTAAGGTGGATGAGGCAGAACATCCCAGCCCAGACTGGCCAGCTTTTCTAATGTCATCTTTGCTGTATGTGTTGGCACATTGTTATGGTGGTATTGGACTTGAATTTTTGGATGAAGTTCTTTGATCTTGGTGTTCAGATGATCTAGTTGTTCACAGTAGAGTTCTTTTATGACAGTGATGTTGGTTGGAAGCAGCTCATCACAATGATGTCAAACAAACACAGATCATCACGTTTTTCTGCACTGTTGGCTCTCTAACAATTGCAACAAATAGTTGACCTTTGTTTACCTGTAAAAGGTTCAAATCTCATCTGCAAAGCTTTAACAAATACTTTTCAGATGAGACTGTAAGATTTTGTTGCATTGTAGCCATTTCTGAAGTGATAGAGCAATAGCATATGAATGTGTTCTTTTGAAAGTTTCATATTGTTAGATATTGCTGACATGTCTAATACCAATGAAATATGTGATAAAATGCTTTTTGGTTACTCTACTTACTCTACTTATAAAGCCACATTGAATGTTCTAGAACAATTTTCCCAATTGTTTTTAGAAAAAAGGTTGAAATGTCTAAATTTCACCTTTACAATCTGATAGATTCTGTTGTGTTCTTGTCTTACATACAAAACGAATGGAACAAGAAAAGCGGTCAGAAACTCTTGACTGGAAGTTGAAGCTTTCCACAGTTTAATACGTGCATTTTCAAGTATGACAGTATGTTGGTTGTGTGTTAGAAATGTTGAATAAATAATATAGTAATTAAAATAAGTCAAATTACTTTTATGTTTAAGTGTGTATCAATTATGTAATTAGAGTTATATTAAATTGTAGTAAATAAATACAGTGGGTGATCGGTTAACGAACAGATCGCATAACGAACAAATCGGATAACGAACACTTTCGCGAAAGATTTTTTATGTTTGGACAACGAACACATGATCGGATAATGAACACCCCACAGAACAAACACAAGAAGAAGCGACGTAAATTAATGAATACCGATTGGTCTTCCCTTGTCTTCGGGCAACAATTCAAAACTTTTCGGAGTGTGGGAGACGTCGACATCGACACTCAAGCCGATATATACCGATCGGATATTATTCCTCCGAACTTTGAAACCTTCCTTGTAATTTCAGCCTTTTATTTTTTTGACAAAACAATTATTTTATGTATTCGTGAGACTGTCGGGTAGGCACTCATTAAGTTTTGCGTCTGTTTTTCTTTTCGAAAGGTCGAGAGTATAATAGCAAAGGTAGAGAGTGGGCAGAAGATGCCTAATGTTGCTGGGCAGTATGGCGTAAATAGGTCTACAGTAGGCTGAAGTTCAATCTTATTTAAGAAACATACTGTATAATCAAGAAGACTCAAGCAGCTAAAGGAGTAACAAAAATCACATCTGAGAAATAAAGAATATCGAACAGTTCATAATGGAACACGAAATGGATCTGACGACAGAAGAACGCCAAGAACTCTTGAATGAAGAACACCAAGAAACTCGGCGAGATATGTTTTCTTCTGAAAAAGAGGATTAATGCCGATATCTTATATTAAAGATCCTTTGAAGAAGTGGGAGGATGTCAGAACAACGGTCTTAGAATGGCATCCAAACCAGGTTAAGGCTTGGGGATTTCTGCAATTGCAATGCTATTAATTACTTACGAAAAATCCTGAAGAAGAGAGAAAAGCAATCGACATTAGACAGATTCTTTAACCCTTTCAAACAGAAAAAAAACACGACTAATAAAAACGCAAGACTATGTATGTATGTATTTTTATTATCATCAATACATATAAATAAAGGTAGTAAGAAAGTATATATTTTTTTATTTTGGGGGGTCTCCAGAACCAATTAATCAAATTCCCATAGAAACCTATGGTAAATCGATAATCGGTTAACGAACAATTCGGATAGCGAACAAAGTCTTGGGACGGATTATGTTCGTTAACCGATCACCCACTGTATATGAAATTAGTGAATATTATATCAAAACAGACAAAGCAAATATCTGAGGCCCTAAATAGAAAGTATAATAATTACAGATAAAATAATCAATAGAGACATCTGAAGTATTGGGTTTAGTACTTAGAACAGATATTATAAAATAATATGTAGTTAATTAACCAAATTCTATCCCAATAGTTGATCCAGCTCATATAGTAAATAGAGACTTCTCACTCCTTTACTTTATATTGCTATGGATTTGGCTATGAATCCAATATGGCAATTTAGCAAGGACATTTTGAATGCATGCAATTGAATGAAATATGTATTATCCAAATTAATTTCAGTAAGAATTACTTCAGGTATGAGTATTCTCACATCCATGTATGAGAATACTCAAGTTTACAGCAGCATTGTTTAATTAAGCCCATAAATAAGCTCTTTTATGCAAGAATTTTAGTCATTTATTTTGAATTTTGGCATGGATTGTAGAGTGAACTTCTAATGATTATGGCACTTAATGTTTGGATATTTGATATATTTATACATTACAAATAATAATATTATGGCCTATCAAGCAGGTTATTAATGTCAATGATATGTATTTTGCAGAGATAATTCATTTATTTATATGTTCTGTCTGAATCATGTCATGAGATCTGGGGCCATATTCTGGTCACCATCTCTGGTCTCTCGTCTCTCACAAGCCAGTCGCTAATTGGCTAATCCAAATGATTAACCAATCAGCGACTGGCTTGTGAGAGACGAGAGACCAGAGATGGTGACCAGAATACGACCCCTGGTCTTCAAATTTTTAAAGATGATGTTTGTTTGCGGAATGTTCTACATTTGAAAATGCAAAATAATGTTCATTACAAATGCAATGCTTTTTTAAGTATTCCATCTAGAAAACACTGAAGATGGCCTTCAAGAGGTTGAAAATATTTTGATTATTTGAACTGTGGGTGAAGGTAAAGGTTGGTGTGTTATTAATATATATCTTCAGTTTATAAATATTGATAAGAAGAATTATAAATTATAGAGTAATGAAAGGCAAACTCTACTCACAGGGCTAGTGTCAACTAAACAGATTGACATGTAGATATACAAGTTTCTTAAAAAAGCAAAACAGTATAGGCTTGTATCAAATATGCAAAATACACTTACTACTTGTATTTACTATTCTAGGAGACTTGTAATGAAGATGTATAATGAAAAAATGAATCTCCAAAACTTCAGGAATAAATAAATTATTCAATAATATTTTTATAATTGCACTGCTATGTTTGAGCAGTAACCTCACTGAATGACCATCTTATATATTGATCTATGGGTGGATGAATGTTGAACTTTCTATAGATAATATTTACTACATGGTTCAGCTCTATCCTGTGATTTATTAGTATGATTTTTAGAAGGTTTTATGATTTTATATATATAACCACATAAAACTTTCTAAAAATCATATACAGGTAACCTCCATATAACACGGTAGTTACGTTCCAAAAAATTTTCTGCATTATCTTCAGATCCATGCTTTACCTTTTGCAAAATGTATGTAATTTTAGATTTCTTGCTTCTAGTTAAAAGATCTTTATAAATTTCCTTATATGGTGCTAAGCACTTATGAAGAATAAAGCAAATATGGAATAAGGGAAAACATTCGGCAACATCAGAAGCAGAAGCGTCGCGATCTGGCAACATTGAAACAAGTTTCGAGAAGGACCCCGTGTATCGACAGAAGGCGAGAAGAGAAAATTTACATACTTAAGTACTAATAGTTCACGAAAATAATAATTTTCGTGAACTATTA